TCAGGCAATAAGTACATTTCTCCCTTCCTTCCTTCCTTCCTTCCTTTCGTTCTTTCTTTCTCTCTTCTTTTTTTTTTTTTTTTTGCCAGTCTTGGTGCTTGAACTCTGGGCCTGGGTGCTGACCCTGGGAAGCTTTTGCTCCAGTCTAGCACTCTACCACTTTGAGCCACAACACCATTTTGGATTTTTCTGAGTAGTAGTTTATTGGAGATAAGAGTCTCATGGACTTTCCTGCCCAGGCTGGCTTCAACCTGTGATCCTCAGATCTCAGCCTCCTGAGTAGCTAGGTGAGCCACTGGTGTACCAGGCAGTACATTTCTTTTCTTTTCTTTCTTTCTTTTTGTCAGTCGTGGGGCTTGAACTCTGGGCATGGGCGCTGTCCCTCCGCTCTTCAGCTCAAGGTGAGTGCTCTACCACTTGAGCCACAGTTCCACTTCCAGTTTTCTGAGTGCTTTATTGGAGATAAGAGTCTCAGGAACTTTCCTGCCCCAGGCTGGCTTTGAACCGTGATCCTCAGATCTCAGCCTCCTGAGTAGCTAGGATTACAGGCGTGAGCCACCGATGCCCAGCAGTAGTACATTTCTTTTTGGACAATGTCACCCCTTCCTTTATTTTCCCCCTACCATCCCTGCTTACAAATTACATAGGTCGGGCTGGGAAGGTGGCTCAGTGGTAGAGTGCTTGCCTTGCATGCATGAGGCCCTGGGTTCGATTCCTCAGCACCACATACGCAAAAAAAAAAAAAAAAAAAGCTGGAAGTGGCGCTGTGGCTCAAGTGGTAGAGCGCTAGCCTTGAGCTGAAGAGCTGAGGGACAGCACCCAGGCCCAGAGTTCAGGCCCCACGACCGGACCCCAAAAAACAAACAAACAAATTACATAGGTCATTTTGCACCTGTTGAATGTGCATATGTTGAATAGCATGGTTACATTTGTTCTTTTTAATAGTCATTTACTATCAATCCTCTTGCTTTTTACATAAAACTCTCCAAATATATATTTAAACTTAACACATCTCCCTCCACCCCCCAAAGCTAAGAATAAGGTAAAGACAACACCTAAATCCTATGCACTGCCCCATCTTACTGTGGCCACCATTGATGTCGCACTCTAAGTTCCTGTGACTGTAAAAGTTCATGAAGAGCTGGCCACAAGTGGCTCACACCTGTAATCCTAGCTACTCAGAAGGCTGAGATCTAAGGATTGTGGTTCATAGCCAACCAGGGTAGACAAATCCAAGAGACTCATGTAGAGTTCCAACCTTAAGCCCCACACCTCCCCCCCTCAAAAAAAAGCTAGGGAACCGTTCTGAGCTCCTGCCTTCAAGCCCCAGGACTGGCCCAACCAAAAAAAAAACCCTGAAGTTTATGCAGCCTTTTTTGGGTGGAACATATCCTTTAGGGTAACTTGAATCTGTAGCCTGGGCCTTGCTCATTCATATTTGGCAGAGAACAAGTCATTTTCTTATTTCCTTAAAGCAGAGCTTCTATTTTTATGCCAATATATCTCAATTTCCCATTTTCCTCCTGTCCTGGGGAGCGAGGTAGGACCTCACCTCGCTCCTTGAGGTGCTGAGGACAGGAGTTTTCCTCCTGACCCCCGATCCCATTCCAGAGTGACTCTCAGACCACAGAAGAAGGAAGACAAGAAGGAGAGCACTAATTCTTCCCCCAGTACCAGAATTTCAACTTCAGGGCTTCATCTTTGCTAGGCTGCCATTCTCCCACTTGAACCACGCCTCTAGCCTCCCTCCTTTTTTTGCTGGTTATTTTGGTGATGAAGTCTCTCATTTATCTTTCCAGGCTGACCTCAAACTACAATCCTCCAGATCTCAGCATCCTAAGCAGCTACAATTACAGATGTGAGTCCCTTTGCTCTTACTGTAACCTCTTACTTCTACAACACTGCAGTCTTTCTGCCCCTCCAATAGGATGGACCAAGTTCTAAGTGGTCGGGGTTTGTGACAACTTTCCTAAATCCTCTGCCTGCTTCTTGTGTAAGACAGAGAGGTTGAGAACTCACTAGATGGCCTTCTGAGCCAGATGACTGCTGGAGAAGATAACTTCTGGAGAAGCAAGAAAATTGACTGGATGAAGAATGAGAAGGAGAAGGAGAGTCAAAGAGCAACTTCTCAGGCCTTAGACAAGAGGCTGGGTGAGGAATACTCTCCCAGTCCAGCAGACACCATTCTATTCCACACCCTGCAGTGTCAAAATGGGAGACAAGCAATAACTATGCTTAAGACCCAATGAACAACACAGATGTAAGACCTAGAGGACGTGGAAGGCACCAACAAGAGAGCACTTGAAGAGAGGTGAGAGGGAAGGAAGTTTGAGTCTGTGGTCACCAGACAGAGGGGAGAGAGTGTCTTTGAATGAGAGTAGTTGAGACAGGCTGTCCATGCTAGGGAGCCATGGGGACCAGGAGGGGCTAAGCTGGGAGGAGGGGGGGGGGTTGTGGATGACAGGGAGGGGTCCAACCCTGGAGGACTTCCAGGTGACTGTTAGCTGAAGAACTCACAGTTTCCTGCCAGCCACACTAGGTTACCAGAAGTCATTACAGGAAATGTTAGGATAAAAATGTGTATTAGAACCAGCAGTGAAAAGAAAAGGAATGCTGGGGGGAGAGGGGGTGTAGTTGAGAAGGTGGGAGGGAAGGGATGGGAGGGGAAAAACAAAGGAGGAGGCAACAATGCTTGATAAGAAATGTACTCATTACCTTGCTCATGTAACTGTGACCCCTCTGTACAGTATTTTCACAATAAAAAAACTTATTTAAAAAAAAAGAAAGAAATTTTAATCGTTTAATTGTAACCTATTTACGTATTTTGCCAGTACTGGGGCTTGAACTCAGAGCCTGGGCACTGTCTCAACTGTAATCCTTTTAGATGGGTTAGATTTTGTTTAATTACACACAGATGTTGGGTCAACATAAAAACTAATTTTTAAAAGTATCAAAAATGTAACAGAAAAAAACAAAAAATATAATATAAGCTGGGTGCTGGTGGCTCATGCCTATAATCCTAACTACTTAGAAGACTGAGTTCTTTTTTTTTGGGGGGGGGGTCCGGTCGTGGGGCCTGAACTCTGGACCTGGGCACTGTCCCTCAGCTCTTCAGCTCAAGGCTAGC